GTAAGAACATGCCACTAGAGCATAGTTTATTGCCATGGAGCAGAGGACGCTGCTGATATAGAAATGCAGTGCCCCTAAATTAAACACAATTGTACAATCTTTGCTCTACTATGAACAGCTAACAGCTTCTGTCCTTACGCTTTCTTCAAGTAGGCCACACTTGTATTTCCTATCTTGTATACAAAGAAACTTGCTGAAAGTTTCTCTAGTCTTGAAGTGACATTGCAGTTGCAGAGGCAAGAAATGCACAATAATTAAGTGGCAGTACGTACTCCTCATCCATCCGGAAAAAAAGTACTTGCTTTCTAGACCGAGACCGGCCCAATTACTCAACTTGGTCGTCCTAATTAGTCAGCTAAGTACATCGTCATGTTGAGCTAGCAGTTAGCCTAAGCGAACGACCTAATAACTAATTAAGTAATTAACGCCACATAGATCCAGCGAACAATTCAAACAGGTAGACCTGCGGAGGCATGAGCTACTCTACAGAGTTAATTATAAATGTTGGGTAAGCATCAAGATTTCGGGAATCAGATCGTGACTTCAGCGTCGAGTTTTACTGCCTAGTTGCTAGCGTTGGTTGGGACAGCTTTGCTCAGAATACCAACTGACGACCTACATCATTAAGATAGCATTACTCATTCAGTAAAATTTACCACAAAATCTGCCGTTAAGGTTTCCTTCCGCAGATTGGAACGAACTATGATCTGCGGAGTATATATATAGTTCTATACAATCCTGGAAATGTGGATACAATATTTTTCTGGATAAATGCAGTGGTATTCGCAGGTCGTTTCCAAGCTGTTGAACAGAGCACATGCGTGCTTGAGATATCGATGAAGAACCAACATCCATGGTTCGATTTGGGAGTTGCTAAGATAAGATAACTAATCCTAAAGAAAAGCAGCCAATCTGCGTAGCTCAGTGAGCTCACACACATGCTGATCAAACATCTCCCAGTGGGCACTTTATCAAAGATGAGGGCAGATATTCTAGCCCCATGTGAGGCAAGGCAGAATGAGTCAGGCTAATCTCACCACGACCTAATGCAAGCCTTGTAGCCGCCAAGTCAAACAAGACATGGATCTCTCTCTCTCTCACACACACACAAGGGAGGGAGATGTGAGGCATGGCATGCAGGATCAGTAATGACAGCCATGAGCAGTGAGGCAATGGCATGGCATGGCATGCGGCGCTGGTGTGCTACCAGCTACGGATCCCAAGATAACAACTGTGCAGTGCGCATACGTTGGGGTAGTAGTGAGTAGTACTACTATATCCATTATCCAACCGCTTTTTAACAAAGATTCTTCCACTTGTTCCCGCCCTCCGACTGATTACATGGTGGATCTTTCTCAGTTTTAACTAATCAGTACTCGTACTGGTACGTCCTATGTGCCGGCCGGCCCTACTGCATGCGCTGAGTGGCACAGGGAGCGCGCGCGGCGCACAGATGCAAAGAAAGCGGAAAAGATCATGCGCAAAAGCGGGTTGCAACGGGGAAAGAAAAGGTGGAAGACGCGTGGGGACGGCCTGTCATGGGCACGCCGCAGAGCTAGTATAGTGGCAGTAAACACGACGGTGCATGGGAGGCATGCGGTGCCATGCCGTGGCATGGCCGGTGATGGTAACTAAAGCGGTGCTAGAAAGGGGAAAGAAAAGGTACTGTGCTGGGGAAAGATGGAGGAGGATGCGGTGGGCGTCACGATGGTTGATGCGGCGGAAATGGCACCGCCAGCTCGCGCGCGGTGCGTGCTCGGGAGCGTGGACTGTGGAATTAGCGGCGGGTAGAGGTGAATGAATGAATGGATGGATGGCGACCAACCTGGAGGGCGCGGCGGAGTGGGCGCGAGCCGCCCCGCGCGGCGTGCGCGCCGAGCCAGGGCGTGCGGCGCCAGGCAACGCGGCCGTCGCTGCCGGCGGCGACGCTGTGGCCGGCCACGGCCATCTCGACGAGCCACATGCCGGGCGCGAGCTGCCAGACCACGAAGCTCCCCTCGTGGCACCGCCCGGCGTTTCCGTTGGCGTGGCCCGCTCCGGCAGGCTCCTGCAGCATCGCCAGCCGCACCTTGCCCGCCGCGTACATGCTCTTGGCCGTGCCCTCCAGCTTCCCGCACCCCGTCGTCGCCCTGAACTGCTCGATTATGTACTGCGCCGACGACGCCACCTGCGCAACCAACAGCAGCATACGTAAGCAAAGGCTAGCAGAAACCAAAGGCGCGAGCAAGGCAAGCATGGAAGGAGACATGCGTACGTGTCGGGGGAGGCGCGGGAGGATGGGCACGGGGGAGAGGGGGCAGGCGAGGACGGAGAGAAGCACACGGAGGTCGGCGGCGGGGCGGGCGTCGTCCCCGGCGGCGCCGCCGGAGAGGATGCGCGCCCAGCGGTGCAGCGTGGCCTGGAGCCCGGACCGCCGCCGCGCCCCCGACTCGCCCTCGGCGCCGGGCTCCTCGGCCAGCGGCTCCAGCGCCACCCTCGCCCTCATCTCTCCCTCACGCAGTCACGCTCGGTTCCAACTTCCAAGAACGAACGAGCCAACGTGCTCTCCCTGTCGCTTCTGTCGTAGCTTAGCTTAGCTGAGCTTCTGTGTCAGGCCGCCGCTGCCGCTGCTGCTGCGAGAGTTTGTTGCTAACTTGCTTGTGCGGCCTCGTTCGGTTATTATAATGCGAGTAGGCGGGCGGGCGGGGGAGCGAAAGCCGCTCGGCGAGTGCAACTTGCAACCTGCTCCTCGCACAGACAGCACGGCGCGAAATCTCTCTTTCTTGGTGATGGTTGGCGGCCACGGATGACGCGCCGGGCCCCAGCGTCCGCCGGGCCCCAGATGGCAGTGAGCCAGCTGAGTCCCGTTGTGGAGTGCGGGGGAAGGGAGGGAGGGGGAGCGTTCAAGGGAGGCAAGACGGCGACGGCGACCGGGAGAGGGAGCGCGGGCGGGCGACCGGACGAGGACGGAGTGGGGTTGGGGGAGCCGTCAAAATCTCGATCGCTCGCCCGATCGAGCGACCGGGCGGGCGCCCGTGCCGCACGGTCGCGCGTGCGTGCACCGCACCCGTCGGATGGGCTTCCCTTCTGGGTTTGGAAACAGGGGGTTTCCGCTTGTTTGTTGCTTGGCGTGGTTCGTGGCGACTCATTCATTCCGGTGGCCGTAGGCGCGTCGTCCATGGAAATCAAATCCGGGCGGTCTCTGTCCGTGGCGTGACGGGCGGGTGAGCTGACACGGACGACGGCGACGCCGCACCCCTCCTCCATCCGCCGGCGAGCGCCCCCGCCCACGAGGCCTCGCCATCAGTCCGAGACTTGAAGCCGAAGATCTCTCACCGTCTCTGTCTCTTTGCTCAGGTCGGCGCTCTCTCCTGCGTACGTGGACTCGTTCCGTCCAGCTGGAGTGAAACGTGTAACGTAACGCGCACACGACATGGCGTAGCCGTAGCGAGTGCCCGACTCATTCCATACTTCCAAGGATCCTTCCACGTACCCGGAGTGATCGTGTCGAGGGTGTATACACCAAGGGATTACCAACATCAGGATTCAGGAACCAATGGCGTGTAACGATCGCGTGCTCGTGTGCCACTGTACCCAATCGACGAGTCATATATTGTTTCTCTCCCTGCTCTGCTTTTGGATTCCAATAATTCCTGAATTTCAGCAATGCGCCCGATATATATAAATTGGTCTCGTACTTTATCATCTTCAATTAAAGGGTGGGCTCGGTTGCTGTCCGGGCAATCATCAGGGCCCAATCTGTTCACCTCCACGTCCCTGGCACTGAAATTAATAGCGTCGATTTAAGCCCACAGGTAGAGAAAAAAGAACGATTTCATTTCCTTTCACACCGGTCTGAAGTATTAACCCGGGTTTGAAAATTGCACAGCATCCAACCCAATTCCAAACAACAATCGTGTTTAGGTGGTACTGAAGTGTCCGAGCGTGCGTCCAGTAACATCCAGACTTACCCTACAAGGGTGAGCCGTGACGGTGACACAGCCAGTGCCAGCTACGTGCATTGTGTACGAAGCAAGTCTGGATGCAATGCAATGCACGCGGTGGCACTTTCAGCTTCGACGTAGCTATCCGGGGCGCCATTGGCCTAGTGGCCGGCTCGATTTGGTCAAGATGGTTTCCACAGGCGACCAAATTGCAGACAGTCGGCAACTTGGCATAGTAGTGCTACTGCTACCTAGGACGATGAGGGCATTACGCAATGATTCCTGGTGAGTTTGATTCGATGGATTTGGAGCCCGCCATGCCATTGACATGCCATGATAACGGAAATTGGAGGAGGGCGTGGCGTCCTTTTCGTCCAACTCGAGTGTGCTGCTCGGTTGGTCTGGGATAAGGCCATTCCATCCGTGCATGGCCATATGCTTCAAGGCCATTAAGAATGTAAAGTCCATTTTTGGGGGGAATTTAAGAATGTTAAAGCTCATGGCACTGATGATTTCAAGTTGCCTTTACTCAGGTTCAGTTCTGGTGGCTCCTGTTCTAGGATAAAAAAACAACATGTTGGCCCCAAAAGCAGGATAGTTTCTTCGGCAGGGCAGGGCTAATGTATTCACAAAGGTTCTTCATGATGGACACGCATGGTTCCATACGAACCTGCATACAAACAATCCAATTCTCACTCAACATTTAGAGCTTCAGGTCTCATATAAAGTAACTATGCATACATAAGTTCCTGCTGCGTGTCTCAGGGTTGCAATGCAAACAGGAGCCATAACAGATGCGCAAGGATACATGGGAAATTGACGAGAAAACAGCTACATGTTTGGCCAAAATGTCTTTTGTAGCTTGTCCACCGCCACCAGCACAGCAATATAGCGGTTTTCACCAACTCTTCTGGCAAAACAGATTACCAGCTTCCACACCGGCGAAAGTAAAATGTTTTCTGGGTTTTACACCTCAACTTCAACGAACACCATCTTGGCCCTTACCGGAAACACACCACTCATGCTTCTTACACAGCTTAACATCCAAGGCGGAGTGATTCAAAACACTGCACGCTTTTAGATGGTAGTTTCAGTAGTAGGCTGCGACTGGGATGCGCGAGCCCGGGCTGCTGCCGCTCTCTCCAGCGCCTTGAGCCGGTTAGCCTCCATGCGCGCCTTCTGCTCCTCCGTCAGCTCAACTTTGCTTGGCTTGCTTCCGCCACTCTCCTCTCCATCTTGATGCTTCTCTGCCTCTCTTGGAGCCACAGGTTGTTCAGCGCCTCCATCGCCAGATCTTATTACAGGTTCCTGTTGTGCCATCAACGAAACAATGCATCACTTTTTAATCCGCATAATGCTCATACTAGAGTAACTAGAGTACAGAGTCCATGATGTCTAGGCATGGCTTCAGGATACTGACACTAACAGCATCTGCTACTAACAGTTTTTGCTTTTCTCAAGAACCTTCTATTTTCATTTCATGGATGGGATGAATCACACAGAACTTACGTATGCGTCCTTAGAGCTGACAACAGCCATGTCAAGTTAAACAAGGCAGAGTATTGACTTACATCGGCTGTCTTTTCGTATATTTCATTTAGCAAATCCTCTTGCATGGGATCCACGTCATCAGTTTCCATCGCAAATGGGTCCACATCCTCATGATTGTCCGTCGACGGAGGTTCTGTCCCCAGGATTGGGTCTTCTTGTGTGGTTCCATCTGCAACAGATAGTGAGCAATTTGGTGTTACTGGAATATAACAAATACAGGTTAGAGATACATGCAAGTACTTTTAATCTAGAATCATAAAGATTTGTGTATGTGCACTTTAAACAAAACAAAGAGGTCAGACCAGGTTCTCCCTCTGGTATGACTTCTTCCACTAGCGGTTGATGCAGTAGTGTAGGATCTCCCCCTCTGGCAACCCTTTCCTTCAATTCCAAAATGCATCTCTAAGATAAGGAAGGACAGTGTCAGTGAGGAATACATATGTCCAGGGAAAACAAGATCGATTGACATGATGGAAGCACCCAAAAACTAGAAGTAGTATATTAGACCACACAATCAATTGAAATCTGTGAAATAGCACAAGGACAAGTTAAATCTACACGTATTCCCCCTAAACATAATCTTGCGCCACATCAAGAATCAACAGATTGATGAGAAGGTGTATTTTCTGAAGTGGCATGATGAGGAGCATAACAACTCCGTTTTACAGACGTATTGTTGTACTCCCTCCGATACATATTAGTTGTCACAGCTTTAGTACAAAGTTGTACTAAAGCTGGTAATATGGATTGGGGGAGTACTTTTTCATGTCCGCTTAACAGATCTTTACGTCAATGTGCTGCAGGCCCTTTCCTTTTGCATTGCCTATCGTCATGAAAATATACGTCATGAAGTCATTATTGAGATTTATACAGCCATCATCCCATAGTGAAATAGCATAGTGAATTTGTGGTGGCAGCAGCTTAACTTAACCCTGAAGGAGATAATCAAATCAGTTCAGTCGACCATGCTCGGAAGACTGCTCAATTTACATGTAACAACATGGAAGGAAACCCAAAAGGAAGAATCGTCTCGAGGATACGGTAATTCTACACATATTCCCCATAAACATAATCTTATGCCACAACAAGAACCAACAGATTGATGAGAAGGCATATTTTCTGAGCAAGTGAATGGCAAGGAGCATAACATCTCCTGTTTTCAGATGTATTTTTTTTTCGAAAAGGAGGATGACCCCCGGCCTCTGCATCTGGAAGATGCATACGGCCACTTTATTAATTATTCTCGAGGACCTTACAAAGTATTACAAACAATATTCCTGAATCCACCATCTCGGCAACATATGCCGCTACTCTTATCCATATGATGAAGGGATGCTAGTTGGGCCACTACCCAAACCACTCACCTAAACCTAACATCAAAAGCCGGAAGCCCCAGCCGAGCCACATACCGGGTCTGGGGCACAATCCGGTCAGACACACTCTTGTGTCGTCGCAGCCATCTTCCACAGGTCCGTCTTCAGAATATATTGAGTCTTCTACCTTGTGTAGGCCACTCCGCCATCAACGTCACCATGACGCCAGACAACTACCTCCTCCTGCGCGAGTCCATCTCCGCGCATCGGGCGGCGCGCCTCCACAGCGCCATGCCGCCGATCTTCGCCGCCATCAATGAGTGAGATGAAGTACCGCTCCACCACGGCATGTACTGATACAGAGTGCTAGACAGAACAGCTCAAAGGCAACAGAGCTGCGAAGCAGCGCTAATGCCATCACCCTACACACGGCGCAGGACGAAAGTCGTTGGAGCAGCCGCAAGTGAACAAGGCCGGCACAAGCCGCCAGCCGCCACCACCAGAACCACCACTGCACACCCGCCACCACTGCTATCCCCGGACGACGCCTCCAAGAAGGAATACGACGTCGCAACGCCGTCGCCGCCCAACCAAGGGACCAAGGTCTTCACCACTAAGCAGGGGGCAGAAAGAGGAGGAGGGGAACCTCACCGAAGCCTCCAAGGAGGGGATCGGCGCCAAAGGCGTCGACTTCGCTGTGGCCGCCGCGCTGGCCAAGGGGTTACCCCGGTTCTAACTCACAACCTCGAACTCCCAACCAACCGAGCCGAAGGACAGCACCAAGAGGGACGCCGGCCACCGAATCAGAAGGGGATCGAGCAGATCGGGCAAGATGAGGCGGGCCTTCTCCACAAGACGCCGATGCGGTCCGCGAGGAGACTCTTTTTATGTTCACTTGGAAGAATAACCTTATGTTAATGTGTTGTTTTTCTATTGCCTGCCGTCATAGAAATATACTACACCAAGTCGTTATTGAGATTTACAAAGCCATCATGCCATAGTAAGATTTTTTTTTAGAAAGGCCATAGTAAGATAACATATGTTGGTGGTGACTTTACAAAGCCATCTCCTGCCAAAGTAAGGTGGCTTAACCCTGCAGAGCTAATAAAATCCTGAAAGGAAACCCTGCAACTTCTCTGAAGACTACTCAATTTACCTGTAACAATATGGAAGGAAACCCTGAAAGGAGAAAGAAGCTTACCCTAACGCGGCCACTGGCCCCAACTTTCTCAACTTTGCGCACAAACTGATCGAAGGAGTAGTAAGGGATCAAGCGAGAGTGCCAGTCCGCGTAAAGCTTGATCAGATTGCCAAGGTCTTCCACCTGACAGAAAGACAGTAAGTCATTTAGTAGGCCAACGGAGATGAGAATAAGGACAAGTGCGCAGTGAGCAAGCTATATTACACCAAACATAGGCTACAATTATCTATTCGGAGTGCTGACTTTTGATGGCACGTATGCAGTAAATTACTAAAAGTGCATAACAAGAAATGAAAGCATCGGCATGTAGCAGATGTGACTTTGCATCTACAGTTTCTACACGGGTTGATCATCTAATTGAACTGGAACTGAAGAGAAAGGAGGTATTCATTGTCCACCGGATGGAATTGATCGGCAGCAGGCATACCTCGGATCCAGGCCGGGCGCGGGGCTTGAACGCCTTGGGGAAGTAGCGGAGGACGAAGCCCAGGCCGTCGTCGGAGAGGAGGAGATCCGGCGTGAGCTTGGGCCGCGTCGCTCTCTCCTTCCTCTTCTTCTTAGCACCATCCTGCGGCGCCTCCTCCCCCTCCGCCGGAGCAGCCGCCGCCGCCGCGGGTTTCGAGAACTGTCTCGGCTTGTAGGGGGCGAAGCGGGCGGCGCCGGCGCCGGCGGCGGGGTTGGGATTGGGGTTGGGGTTGGTGGAGGAGGATGGTGGGGCGGAGGGGCAGTCCCGGGACCAGTGGCCGGGGCGGCCGCACTTGAAGCAGCCCGTCGGCGCCGACGCCGCCATGGGATGGGGAGGGGAGGAGATGGATCTCAGGATTTGGGAATCGGAGTGGATGGGGAAAACGATTTGTTGCTTCCTTTTTGGCGGGAACGACAACGTGGGTTGGCGCCATCCTTTTCCCCTCTGTTTCTGTTTCTGGGCTCAGTGGATATTGCTCATGGGCCATCATTTCCCTCTGTTTCTGAGCTCCAGTGGTCTGGATATTGCCTATGGGCCGTACCGTGCTACGGATTATTGCACACTTTCAGTCCGGCTCATTCGTGTCGCTCGTTTAGAAAAAAAAACTGGTCCCCTCCAAAAAAAGGAAAAAAATGGATCTTTGGTTTTTTAGTTTTGAAATAGTTGAGAACATAAAAAGGATTTTAAAAAATCTTCATGATCTTATAAAGTCCATATATTTGAAATATATATTCATGAATTCAAAATCACCAAGTCAAAAAAGTTCTCAAAGTTGAAAATTGTCCGTGAATATGAAAAAGTCCATGGAACTCAAAAAAGTTTGCGAATTTGAATAAAGTTCACAAATTCAAAAAGCTCTGAGTCCAATAAAGTTCCCAAAAAAATCCTGATCACAAAAATTTTGCGAATTAAAAAAATATGAATATGAAAAAGTTTTGCGAAGTCAAGAAAGGTTGATGAGAATTCCGAAAAAAATCTTGAAGTCAGAAGTTTTGCGAATTGGAAAATTCATGAAGTAAAGAAACACATATTTGAAAATGTTCAATAATTTAAAAAATCATGAAAATGAAAAAAATATGAATTTGTAAAAATTACGATTTTAAAAAAGATCATGAAATTGAAGAAAAAACTCATGAAATGTAAGATGAAAACGGAAAGGAAAATAAAAGGAAAGAAGGAAGAAAATCGAAAAAAAATCGACCAAAAGCTTCCTAAACCGGCTAGAAGGTTCCCAAAACTTCCACGACAAACAAATCGCAGTAGGTAGTATGTCCCCTAAATGGGTCGGCCCATTGCTAAGACTTTCGAGGATGTGTGCTCGCCATGTACCGATAGCCTGCTCTTTTCTAAAGAAAATGTTGAGGGAGCGGATGAGGTTTCTCTTTTGTTGGAAACATATGCAAGGGCATCTGGCCAAAGAATAAACAAGGATAAGTGTTCACTTTTCTTTAGCAAAGGTTGCCCAGAGTCCATAAGAGCTGCTATAAAAACTTCATTGCAAATCCCTAATGAGCAGCTAAATGAAAAATATCTTGGTATGCCCTCTGATGTAGGGAGTGCAAAGAATGGTGCTTTCAAGTTTTTAAAAGATAGGCTATGGAATAAGATACAAGGGTGGATGAAGAAACTACTTTCCGCTGTAGGGAAGGAGGTGCTTATAAAATCAGTAGCCCAAGCCATTCCGGTGTATTCAATGTCTTGTTTCAAGCTTCCGAGAGGTTTATGCCAACAACTAACATCAATGATCAAAGCTTTTTGGTGGGGAAGTAAATAGGGCCAAAGGAAACCTTATTGGGTATCATGGGACACGATGAGCATGCCGAAGTATATGGGGGGGGGGGGCTTGGCTTTCGTGATTTTGAAATTTTCAACTTGGCACTCCTTGCAAGGCAAACTTGGAGAGTTCTGAAAAATCCTAGTTCACTAAGTGCACGGATCCTCAAAGCCGTGTACTTCCGGATGGGGAGATACTGACAGCCAATCTAGGCGGGTATCCATCCCAGATTTGGAGAGGCTTGATAGAGGGTCGTGATATCCGGAAGATTGGTCTTGTCCGAAGGTTTGGTAATGGAAATACAAGTCATATTTGGGGTATGAACTGGCTACCCAGGAAGGAAAATATGAAGCCCATTGTTTCTTTAAGAGTTGATCCACCGCTGATGGTGGCGGAGTTAATTGACCGGAATAACGCATGTTGGAACGCAGCGTTGCTTGCTGAGGTTTTCCTTCCATATGATATAACAGCGATCCTGAAAGTGCTGATCTGCACAAGAAATATGGATGATTTTTGGTCTTAGGGTTTTGAAAAAAGTGGAATCTTCTCTGTCCGTTCGGCTTACAGGATGATTGTGGATATAAAACGAAGGCGTGAAGACTGGCTGGAAGGAAGAGGAGGATCCTCTAATACGATAGCAAATGAGAAGGCCTGGGATACTTTATGGAGAGTCCAAGTCCCGGCGAAGCTCAAAAACTTTCTCTGGAGATTGGCCAAAAATTCGCTACCCACCGAGGATGTTCCCAAGGATAGGAAGATGTCACATCATGATCAGTGTTATGCATGTGGAGCCCAAGACTCTTGGAGACATAGCTTGCTTGAGTGTACAATGGCACGATGTGTGTGGTCTCTTGTAGACCATGATCTGCTGGACCATGTGATCGCTACAACAGAGCCTTCAGCAAGAGCCTGGTTATTCTTTATGATGGAGACACTGGACCGTGAAAAACTAATACGGTTGACAGTCACAATGTGGGCGATTTGGTATGCTCGAAGATAGCTTATCCACGAGGGGATACATCAGAGCCCATACGAGACACACAGGTTCGTGCTTAGCTTTATAGCTGATTTGGATCAGCTCGCGCCGGTGAAAGAGTCACAAATAAGCACAAACCAGCCACATGCCAGGCAGGGTTTTAGATGGATTCCATCGATAGAGGGATGTGTGAAGATCAACGTGGATGCTGGAGTTTCAGAAGGAACGAATATGGGAACAGCAGCAGTGTTATGTCGCGACAGGGAAGGGAATTATCTGGGCTCTTCCATGCTAGTATTTGAAGGCCTAACGGATCCAACGACGCTGGAAGCAATCACATGCAGGGAGGGCATGGCGCTGGCTCAGGACCTGGGAGTGAACCATCTACATATAGCTTCGGACTGCAAGCAGGTTATTAATCACATTCATCAAAGAGTTGGAGGAGACCATGGTAGTATTGTCAGAGAAATTTCACAAACTTCTACTTTATTTACCGCTTGTAATTTTCTTTTTGAACCTCGGGAGTATAATTATGAGGCTCATAGACTAGCTAGATTTGGCTTTTCGCTCCCTGCTGGGAGGCATTTGTGGTTGGGCATCCAGCATGACCCGATTGTAATTCCTATGAACATCTTAGTCGATCAATAAAGTCCTGGCGGGGGTCGTGTCTCAAAAAAAAGCCCTATAACCAATGCCTTAACGTTGAACGGGGTTCAACTACCTTGTCTTGTTTGACTACAAAAGTTTATCTTGTCTTGAAATAAGAAAACACTAAAGAGGTTCTCGATAAAACAATCTGGAAAAAAACCCAACCAACATTATCATGACCCTGTTGTTTTTGGATTTCACTACATATAGAAGGTCACATTTTATAACATGGCAAGTCGAACGTCAGGTGGCAAATTATGTTGTTGCGAGGATGGCAATTTAGTACAGCAAGCACGGCGAATACTTGCCACGTACATTTTTTTCAGGAATTGATATGCTTGGTGATAGAAATTGTCATCCCGAGGGAACACAATTTGCTGTAGAAAACGTCTAATTTATGGTTGAAAATATGATGTTGGATTTTTAGCATTCCCATTTTTTGCTGTGAGTAAAAAAACGTACGGTCAACTATCCTCACATGGGTAACTATGGAAACAAATCCTTGACGAGCTTTATGACAAAATCACAACAATAGGCCATCTTGATTAAAACGGATGGTCAAATATTTCATCTTTTATATCTAAAAAGCTAGCCCCGCTGACTATTTTCGAGCACATGCAGCTATATCATCTCATCACCTACTAATAAGCTTTAGAAAATGTTTGCATGTGTCATTCATAGCCAGTTTTCTTCTCACACACTTTAACGGGCTTTTCTCAAGCTCTCTACCGGTTGCACATATGATGTAATCAAAAAATTGTCGCAGTCAATTCCCTCAGCTATGTACAATTTTTTTATTATTTGTTTTAAATTTTCATTTTTCTTTCTTCTTAAAAGGTAATATAATGTTAATAATTCATTCTTTTTTTAGAAAACTTCTTTTTTTTCAATTGTTTTTTCAATTTTTGCCTTCCGACTTAAAAGGTATCTATTCAGTTTCTGTTATGTTTCACACCAATAAGTATCGGGCAGGCTTCTTTTTCTCGTGGTTTTAAAAGGCTGGGTTTTTGTTTTATTTTAATATACATATTTGTTCATTGATGCTTAAGTATAGAGGCAAGTACTCTACAATATGTATGCAGATTATACAAAATGCGAAAATACGCTATTATATGATTATTCTTTGCATATTAAAAAGGTGCAATTTCAGTGCAAAGTTCCGTACAAGTTATTTTTATGTTTTTTCACTTTCTTTGTTTCTTAAAGGGTAATACAAATGCCACTGATACATCTTTTCTTATAAAACCTCATTATTTTGATTGTCTTTAGTTTTTGCTGCAATTTACATCTTCTTTAAGGGTAATACAAAGACACAATTTATGTGTAAATTATGTGAAAAAAACAATTAAAAAACAATTTTCTTTGTTCTTAAGGAGTAATATGATGCCACTAATTCAATTATTTTTGTTTTTGTCTTGTGCCTTACTAGGTATCAGGTCAGTTATTTATTTACTTTTTGCATGGAAAAGGTGGGTTTTATTCCTCAGAAACAAAATTACATTCAGCTAGTACAACATGAGCAACACTGTCTGGCACCCTACGCAACCAACAAGCGGTGCTACCACCAGATCTTTCTATACTAGCTAAACTATGAGCAACTCTATTTTGATGATGCTCAATTTTCAACGGAGTAAACCTACAGACTCCAGAGTTTTCTTGATTTCTAACATGAGATGACTGTATGCCGAATGGTCCAGCGAGTCATCAGACAATGCAGTAACAACCGTCGCGTTATTGGATTGGATCACAATTGGTAAATCCGACCGTTGTATACTAATTGACAGTCCTTCGAGAATAGCACTAATCTCTGCTTCAAGTGCATCTTTGCAGTTAAACAGGTACCGGTAAGCCGAGAAAATAACCTCCCCCTCGGAATCCCTAAGCACCCTGCCGGACCCAGCTAGTCCTGTCTCCTTCACAAATGAT